GCAAAGTTTTCAAATCCCTTTAAATAGAACTCCACTTAAATGTTTCTACTGCATTCTGCACCATATTCTTATGATCACTGCTGCACTTTATATATGGAAATGATTTCACTGCTGGGAAAGCTGTATGCATGGACATTTTGTTTTACTCTGTGCATACAAAATGACAATAAAGTTTGTCTAAGTCTTTAAGAAGCTAGAATAACTTCAGCTCTCCTGGAAAGACTTCCCCCGAGGTTTAGGAGTTTGTTTATGGGGGGTCTTTTTTCAGGAAAACATGCATGAAGTCAGACACAGATGTTTGATGGAAAGGCCAATAGATTTATGCTCTAAAGCGAACCTGTCCTGTTCGTTCAGCCCCAAACTTAGACCCTCATGTCTTCATCAACCTTATATTGTGCACAGATCTGACGACATGTTGAAACGTTAAGATAGTTAATCTCCAAACTATCTGCACAAAATTGCAACACAAATTACAACAGAATTACAACGATTAATCAATTCTCTTTTTAGCTTCTACAAACTAATATGAAATGTCCTCAAGAACACAAATGTATTAATTCATTTAAGACTTCTGTGTGCCCTCTAACCTGTCCCATTTACATATGGTTTCTCCATTTCACAATACAGTTTATTCACTGCAAATCGTTCGAGTCTGACGTCTGCTTTTCTCCTCTATATCTGAATTTTTATTTTCACGGTTAGTCCTGGCAAAAGGACTGGACTAAACATAAACTCTCACTGATTATCTTTGAAAACATCTGCCAACATTTACCTGTTTCAGCTCTTGAACTTCATCCCGTAGGGCATAAACCACATCCACCAGACTCCTTCAATGAGATCAGATTCAAATGGACCGTTAAATAAGTCAGTATCAGTCATATTTAGGCTGTGTTTCACAACTGTTACAATACTGTTCAGATGTTTACATCACCACCTTCATAAATGTCGCATATTGGTCTTAGTCGCCCAACAATGGGAAATACTTCGGTAAGGTTATCTTACATACAACATGTCTGCTGATATATTCTAAAGATATTAGGCAGATGCAGCTCTACAATACAGCTTCTGAATCAACACGATCCTGGTATATTTTTAGTAACAGGCCACCCCTATTGGTTATCATGGAGCTCATCTAAACAGTTTTTCTTTAAAACCTTTTTAAGAGCATTAAAGTTAGTCTGCTCAGAATGCTCAAAAGCATTCACATGTATCAAGCTTTTAACCTGACAAATCTCAAGTGATACCCTTGGATGGAAAAAAAAAAGATCCCTTCATAGACTGATCAATATAGGGCAAATATCTGACCCATTTGCTCAAAAAGTCAAGATGAGATCGAAATATCAAGCATAGAGGAGGTAGCATTATCCTGGGGGTTTGTTTTGAGAAGACAAATGAATACTTCTAAATGCTCGAGTCTTTCCTCTAATCAGCTGCTAGATGGTGGAGACTTGGACATGATTTGGTAACAAACCAAACCAAAGATCCTAAAGTCACATAACTGAGAGATTAGCTTTCAAGTCTGAACTATTTCAGGAAACCACCCAGTTAATATGGTTCTAGAAGCTGCTGGAAAGTCTGGTCAAACATCAAGCCTGAGGTACATTGGAGGGTTATGGCCAGCTGCAGTATAATTTTAAAAAGTTTGTTGAAAATCTACATTTAAAGGGGAAAAAAAGCTAAAATTCTGTTATTAAAAATTCTTAAAGTTGTAATTTGTAACACTGAGCCAACATAGAAACGAAAAGGTTAGCATGCAACAGTGAAATCAACAAAATAAATAAATATAATGCCAAGGAAAAGTGCCTGTAAAAAAATGTCCGATCACCACCGGCAGTGACTCTTACTTTTCTTCCAGTGCACTTTGTCCGTTGCGGTTTGGATCGTCTAGAAAAACTTTCTCGTCACTAGGGATGATCACATGCAGCCCCGTGTCGGGTCGCGATCCTGGGTCAAAACAGAGAAGGAAACAACCACTGGTACTTCACTGTCTGATCTGGTTTTGGTCAGCGAGTGGCAGTTGAGCACCACTCTCTGCTGGGGTTACAGGAAGCATGCTGGTACTAGCGCGTTAGTCAAGACGTGAAAACAAGAGTCAGGAAAGTAAAAGACCCGAAAAGTAGGACAAAGGATCTAATAACCAACAGAAGGCCAGTTTCTATCAACTGATAGATTTATTAAAACTCATAATACAGCATTTGGGACTTTTAACACTTCAGTAGTGTAGAACAAATACACTGTAGGCTGCATTAAAAGAAAGGACACGGTCAGGTGGAACTTCAATGCAACATTAGAGCACACAGAGGACAATGTTGGCTAAAGACAATGTTTGTTTTTCACCCTGTCTGTCCAAGAGGTTGACTAGATTAACCACAGAATACATCTGTCACAAAGTTCAGCACATGATAGAAGAGCAGCCATATTCTTAGATCTTTTTTTCTTGTTGCTATTTATTTTTTTTTGGCTGCAAGACAACTATTTACAAAAAGGGACATAATGTGCTCTTTATATGCCAAGTCCACTCTAACAGCCGTCTGAAGTTAAAATAAATTAACTTCTTCATTTCTAGTTTGTTCTGATTTTTTTTTTTTCCATCTTCAATGCCATCAAACCATTGAAGGAGAGCATTTACACTACGAATAAGTATTCACTTTACAATTACACTGAATACTTAACTCTATCTTTAGGATTATATCATAAAGAGTCTTGGTAGACACTAAAAAGTACTGAATTTCATCGGGTCCACACCTGTTACTCCTTTCGCGAGTCACATGATTGTGCAAAATAATTAAAACATTTCATTATTAATTGTAAACTTTAACACAGATCAAATAAAACCGATCAGAAGGGGAAAAATATTCTTCCAGAGATCATTTTGTAAACATTGACATACACCGTTTCAAATCAACAGATAAATAATAAAAAAAGAAATACTAATATCTGTACAAAATTATACGAACAACTGTACCATGGACCCCTTATATACACACACATATCTTCCTCGTGTCATTCTATTTTTGCTCACTGTATAAGGATGCTTATGTTGTACTTTTCATAACGATACTGGAAAAATACTTCTTCATAAAAATAGGTATTAATGAGAGAAATAATGGGAGGCCTTACAAGCTAACAACTGTAGGTGGAGCTGATGAGGTGCTACAGTTTTCTGCAGGCGAATTGATCTGACAGGTTAGGCTTATATTTTTTATTCTCGAACAAAAGCAGTGAAAGATGGGATCCATGATGAGCTAACCCACAATCGACAAACAGCTTTCAGCTTGAGCTTGTAGGTTTAAAGAGCAGATGCATTTTCCTTCAAACTTTGAATACCATGCTAAACAAATTAGTCCCTCTGATGGAGAAGATCATATATTAGGATGAATTTCTGTCCATAATCGGTGTTCAAATAAAGTGCATTGAGGAAGTATTCACATCCGTTAAGCTGTTTTATTTTTGAAGTTACAACAGTAAACTGCACTAAGTGTCCATCTAACAAATCTTTGTTTAGTTCAAAAGATTAAAGATTAGATTAAAATACTGAGCAAAAGAAGATTCTGTTAGATTATTAATCTTCTTCTGAGAAGATTTTACATTAAAATATGGGCAATAAACTGCAAGTACAGAAATATCTTGTTTTCAGAATTTATATCATGACTTCAAGACGTCTTACCAAGTGTAAGTGCAATTATCTTACTCCATTTACTTAATTTAGAGAATTTTCTCTAAATTAGATACATTTTCTAACAATCTGTTTTTGCTATGTATATTATTCTTAAAAGAAGATTTTAAAAAATACCTTTTAGCTAGATATCAGATTACAAGAATTGATTAGATGGACACTTTTTGCAGTCCAAACTTTCTGTTATTTCAGTAGGAATTAATATGATAAGCTTATGTTGATACTGAAGGAGCAGCAGATTCGTTGTTCAAGAGGAAAATTTTGCTGTAATTCTCTCCACACGGATAAACTTTCTTTTACGGAAGAAAGAAACTACCAGTATAGAAGCTTAAAAGCAATTAACCATCCAGTATAAAGTTTGCTACAAGACATGTTGAATAAACAGCGAAAGGATCCTGTTCAGACCTTGTCTTTACATTCCTATTGGTTAATTTAGTTCCAAAAGGGCAGCTTTAAGCCCAACTCTTCCCTTCTAGCAGAATCAATCTGTTTCTAGCAACATTACATTATAGGCATTAGCTGAACAAACAAACAGGACAACAGGCCGGATAAAATTTTTAGTTGAATTCCACCATTATCCGTACAAATCAAGTGACTGGTAGCATTTTTCAGAAGTAAATAATCGCAGCAGGTACAGCTATTTCCAGAAAAAAATACGACCATGTAAGGAAAACTAAAGCTGTTTTATGTTGACCCAGTAAGGGATGTAATCCAGTCCCATCGATACACATTCTAAGAACAAATATTGAATTGTAAAAAAGCTTACAGAAGACATCAGATGAAAATTTAGACAGAACAAATTGCTGGAATGTAAATTACTACTCAAACTTCCAGAAAATGTGCTTATTGCAACACAATAAAAGAATTTGCCAAAGAACTACTGCTCTCATTTCAGGTTCGATCACAGACAATGATTTGGAGATATTCACCATTTGTTTTTTATATGTGATTTATGCAAGAGTGAGGAAGAGTTTTTTACATTTTTGGTAAACAAAATAAAAAAAATAAAAAAAAACGTGTTAGATGCATTTACATTTGGTTTCCTTTCTTCCGATATAGAAAGGTGGGGTTAAAAACAATATTTTTATATCTGCTTAAAGGCTATTTTTAAAAAAGCAGTATTGTAAAATCTGATAAAGGAGCCTCATCTGAGCTAATTAATTTAATGACTGTAAAGCTGCTCTCCGAAGTTTGCTTGTTAATAAACACACAGAAACATGAAGGTTAGCAACCTTTGACATGAAATCCCAGCAAAATACATTGAAGATAGTTGTGACGTGAAAAATAATTTTTTAGGATCAATGCACCATGAACACCTTTGCAGCTTTATTTTGTGTATTTTAAAATTAGCGACCAATTGCAATAGGACCCATTTTTTACGGTCTATCAAAGAATTCAGCAAAATGCTTACCTGCTCTTGCACTTAAAGAATCTTGATTCAAACTGTGGATTTCAAGGAATCAGATTAGCTCTCAGGATATTCCTGAATACCTTGTAGGAAAGTGCTATAAAAGAACGCAATGATAATTACTGGCCTTTATATTTAGCAACAGATTCACTAATCAAAGGGTGTTATTTTCCTACAGCAGTGGGGTTTTTTTGTCAATTCAACATTAGGTCATGAAAGACTTAATGTAAAATACAGAGAATCTGCATTTGCAAGCTTTATTCTGCAGACAGGAGAGAGATTTGTGCCTGAACACGTGTGCCTGTTTAGCATGTGCTATCTCTGAGCAAACGTACCCCAAAACTACATACTGAAAAAGAACAAATACATGATCAATTAAAGACACTCATTCTTGAATTGCATCTGAATATCAGACAGGAAAAAAAATAAGTCCACTGTCACTCCCTCCCCTAAACTACTCAGCAAAACGTCCATACTCTCCAATCAGAGTCCACCCGATTTATGGCTAAACAAAGAGAGTGGTCACATTCAAGATAAATGAACAATAAATAGCTAACACTTACTGCATGACATCTACAGAAAGAGAGGAGGCACAAAAAAGGGAAAGGCAACAGGAAAATGCAGAAAACATCTTCAAGCAAGCTGTCGAAAAATAATTTAAAGCAATAAATTACCCAAATAAAAGTAAAAAATAAATATATAAATAAAAAAAAATCTATTTCTTTAATACATCTAAGAGGTAAGCGCACTCTACGTTACATTATGTTACAGCCGGACGGCGCAGTACATTCTCTAGTTCTGGTGCGAGATGCAACTCTTTCGCGGCACCGACCCCATCCTGTAACTGTGGGTGGTCCAGATGGAGTCGTAGTCAGAGTCCTCCGACAGGTCGGAGCTCAGTTCTGGCCGGGACACGCTGCTGCGGCGGCCTGGCGAGTCCACGCAGGACTGATCCATGTCGGCGAGCACGTGGTTGTGCATCAGGTCGGTGCCCTGCCAGGCTGGTGGGGCCGGGGTTTTTTTTAAAAATAAATGTGGAGGGAGGAAACGAGGAGTTGAAGAAAAGGGGGATGGGGACGGTGTTCGCAAAACACAACAGATGGCAAATAAAAGAAGGAATGAAAGATGCAAAAGGTAAAGATGGAGGGAATTATGACAGGGTATGGTAAATAAAACATTAAAATGGAAAAAAGGTACTCAAGATAAATCAGGAAAAAAAAGCCAAAAAGAAGGATGCAGGAAAGAGAAAGAAAGGAGAAATTGTTAGAAGGAGCAGCTCAGAATACCAGCGTTAAAGATAGGCAGAGAATAAAGGTCATGTTTCACCAAGCTATGGGCTGACTGATGCCATTAAAATACATCAAGCTTCAACAACAATGTAAAAAAATGCTCCATTATAATGTTCTTAATTAGACTGCACTGCAACAAAGGAAATATGGATCATACTAACACAACAAACACCAGAATGAGTCTCTACTTCTCCTCTAAATGAACATTTATTAGATTTCTATTCGTCTTACTGGAGTTGAGAGTCTGCCTGGTTTTGGCGCTGGTGCAGTACGCTTCGATGACTTTCAGGATCTGGGCGTCCTCTTCCAGAGCAGCCGTACCTCAGAGGGGGAAACCAAAAACTTATTTTACTCCTATATTTACAGTTTATGGAAAATAGAAGACAAATCAACAGTAAATAGTGCTGTTACTTTTTTTAATTCAGATTTCTTGCTGTAGGACCTCTGGTCAACATATTGCTTTCCTGCAGCTTCTAACTCAACCCAAACAACTAAAAACTCATCTAACAGGGTAGAAGAGACCGCATTCACATCTCAAGGGGTCAGACCGTCACTTTCTGGGAGAATTAGAAGCACAGTAATAATGACGCTTAAGAGTCAGCCTTTTTATCACTTAAAGAACATTTCCAGGATTAAAGGTCTAATTTCCAAGCAGAACCTAGAAAAACGTATTCATGCATTTATATTTAGAATTGATCACTGCAACAGTGTCTTCATAGGTTTGCCTAAAAAGTCCATCAGAGAGCTGCAGCTGATCCAAAACGCTACCCATGTTCTCACTAGAACTAAGAAAGTAGAGCACTTCAGCCCAGTTCTGACATCCTTCCACTGGATCCCTGTAGCTCAGAGAATAGACTTTCAAATCCTTCTGTCTATAAATCACTGAATGGATCACCACCTCAGTACGTAACAGATTTGTTGTCAGTGTATCAACCTCTCAGAGCATTCAGGTCTTCTAGTTCCAGTTTACTCTGTACACCCAGAACCAGAACCAAACATGGATATTTCCTATTAATTAGTTCCTATGACCCATTTATCTGGAACACACTACCAGAACAGTGGAAAAGAGCTGAAAGCCTAAGTTATCTTATAGCCAAGTTTAAGAAAAAAAAAAAATAATAATACAACAGAGGCATCAACACTGAACTTTGGTCCATAGTTTAGAAAAAAGGTCCAAAGATTATTGACACATACTCTTCCTCACAGCAAATTCCTCCTCAGACTGTTTTCTCTCAGGTTTACGTTTAGGAAGAAGTTTCTTCACACTTTTAGGACTTTTACTAAGATCCTGCAAACAGGAAGCAGAAAATATGTTTTATAAGCAAGATTTTCCAAGTAAATGATAAATGAAAAAGGTCAAGCTTAAAAAGAGTCCCTTGCCTCTTTGTAGCAGAGTGCAGCAGAGGGCCGTAGCGGCGGCGCAGGCCGCAGGCAGCTCAGGCTCCAGGGTTTGGGAGTGTTTGGGGGCTCCAGGGGGCCCCACGTCATTGTGCTGTGGGATGTTCCATGAGAGGACGGGTGGGGCAGGGTGTGGTAGGTGGGAGCCACCGTCATGGCCCTGCTCTCAGCGTGCCGGGATGGAGTGAGTGGATGAGATGGAAGCTAAAAAAATGAAATTAAATCTATTTATTATTAAATAATCATTTAAAAAAAATTTTTTGGCAATAAAATCATACTTTAAAATACAACACTGTAAGGCTTCAAATTATGGTTACAGATTATGCAAAGCCATAACAGCGTATTGATTTCTAGCATCACAGTAGGTGTGAAACAGACAGAAATGTTCAGTTTATGAAAAAAAAACAACGGGCTGTGTAACGATCCGCTGCTGACCGTGTGGCAGGGGACAGTGAGCGGTTTGTGGCTGGGGGCCGTGGCGGCGCTGTGTTTGATCTGTCTCGTCAGGTGCTCCACCCAGTCCTGCAGGTCCTGCTGGTTTGCGCACACCACCTGGAGACGGTCAAACATTGTGCCTGCACGCAGAGGGAGGGCCGTGTTTGAAAGGATTTCTTCGTGTTCATTAACCGCTTACTTTTCCCTGTCGTCTTACCGTTCAGCTCAAAGGCATTTTTATGGGCTTCACAGTCTTCCAGTTTGGTCACTATCATGCCGTTCAAAGGCAACTTTCCCTGAAAAGGAAAACGCCAAAAGGAGATGATTAAAGTAATACATTTCCAGTCAGTTGCTTTATATTATACTGATGTACAGAGATGGGGATGTCTGACCTGAAATATAAAACCGCTCATCCTGGGACTAGCAGACAGCATGAGGAGGACGTGAGGAAACAGCATGAGGTAGCGCTCATTCTTTTCCTGGTCATAAAGAGAAAAGTGGGGGTGCATGAGGATCTTAGGGAGAGGTTTAAAAAAAAAAAAAAAAAAACTTTGCATATTGTATTGTTGCTTAAACCTCACAGGATCATAAGGAACTGGAACCAAATAAGACTCAATATGTTTTTGGAAGGCTAAAGGAAGGTGGGCTACAGAAAAACAGGGAAAACAAACCAACTCTGTACAGAAAGTTTCAGGATATGGATCTACTTTAAACCCGTCTTGGTACTACATACATGGGTCCCTAGCGAAGCTATAATTATCCATCTAAGCCTTTATATTGTTTTTCTTCCTCATCTCAGCTGATCGAGCGAGGAAGGGAACACAATTATGTGAAAAAAAGTTACACCCTGTGTGTTTTAAAGATAAATCAATATTTACCATCAATTATTGTAGCAATATAACAAAACGATACACTCACAAAAAAGAAAAAATATCTGAAAAATACACAAAACAAAAACATCAAATCAGGAGGACATGATCAGAAGATCATCACTCAGTAATGGAAGGAGGTTCAAACCTCTATGGGATTTTAAAACACTGAAAGAGAACCAATGCTCAATCAAAAAGGAACGGCATGAGATTAACTTCAGCAAAATCATATGCTAACCTGAACACCAGAAAGAAGGCAAACCTTTAGAATAAATAAGAAGTCATTTAGATCAAATAATAATGCCCAAAACAAGAAAAAACATTTGAGGGACAGATGCTTTCATTAAGTTTAAGCTTTATAATTCATGTTTGAGCTGCACTGCTGAGGTAGCACTGCTGCCTTGCAGCAAGAAGGTTCCGGGTTCGATTACTAGCCCGGGGTCTTTCTGCATGGAGTTTGCATGTTCTCCCTGTGCATGCATGGGTTCTCTCCAGGCACACCGCCTTCCTCCCACATTCCAAAAACATGACTGTAAGGTTAATTGGCTTCTATACATTCTCCTAAAGGGCTGGTTATGCTACCCGCAGCAGTGTGTCGCAGTGAGCTTGACGCAGACATTTTGGATTATGCTCAATTTTGAGCGTTGTCTGTGCTATACGCTGTGGGTCTAGATGTGGCCGAGGCGGTGAGGAAGTGGGGGCGAGTTTTGTCCCACAACGGAGGGACATGTACCTGGACACATCCAGGTGGAAAAAGGGTCCCAGCGTTCTCGCGCGCCTCAATCTTCTAGTTGTTCCAACTTCACAAGTTGTTTCCCGTAATTTCAGTCATAAAAACAAAACAAGCCGACCTCCTGTCTGCAGCACGGTCTGTGGTCACCTACAATTTCGGAAAGGTGCATCAGAGTGTTTGCGAAGGGGGTGAGGATGTCTTTTTGTTCACTGGGACAAGCGATGTTACATTACGATGTGTTCAATGTCTCATGCCTGAAAGCAGTGTTACCTCAGCACAGCATTTTATTGCCCGCATATATTATGCCTCAGCTAAGCTACATATTTCTGCAGCCACATACATTACTCAGCTGTCATTCTCAAAAGCTAGGCTGCTTCTACACCACAAATTCACAACTGAAATTACAACTATGCATAAACCCACAAATCAGACCAATTTCCACTCCCATGTGTGACCACAAACCAATGCTTACATTTTTCTAAATAACCATTTGTTTATAAAAAAAAAAGCTGATTTTAAACGTTGTCGGTTAAAATAATTTTAGAAAAAAAAAAAAAATCACCAAAGTAGACCTGAAATACTGATAATATTTGCCTCTATTCTTAAACATAAAATAGAAAATGATATGTTATTTAAGTTAAACATATCAACCATTTATTTTGAAATTACATAACTTTCTTCATTGGCATTCTAAAGTTGTTAGTCAATAAATCATAATAAATTCAAAATGTTCAAAATGTAAAACTTATGAATGAAGAACATTTAAAAGAAAATATGAATTTTACATAAAACCCAAGATTTTTAAATGCAGGAATGTTATTATGGTTTAAACCAGTTTCCCATCCTTTTTTGACTTGTGTACCCTTTGGGTATTTTGTTGTACAATGAGTACCGCCCCTCAGCCAAAAGTGTTGATGATCGTCCAAAAGTGGACCGTATGATAACTGAAATAAAGACTATTAGGACAATGATCTCTGTGAGAAGCAGAATGGAGAGATACAGAAGATCTTTTGTCCCAGATTCTATTAGACAGTTTAATGCCTCCTAAATGACTGTCATTATTATTTTTTAATCTAATGTTCCGTTTCATTCCATTTCATGTTTTTGTCTTTGCTATGTCTCTCTTTCTATCCATCTGTCCATCCAATTATATGTTTTCCATCTCAAATAAAAAAACAACATAAATATGTTGCCTGGAAGTTAGTAAGAAATGGAAATAAATACAAAATAAAATCATATTATAAACCTGTATTTATAAAACTGGAGCTCCTCTGAGTAACTCCACTACATTTAAACTTGGCAAATTGGGAAAAACATACAGAGCAACATTTTCGTCAGACTGACATAATTAGTTTTAAACATACAAGAATAACTTAAATTATGGTTGAAAAAGGCTTGTTTAATTTTTCAGTTGGGTCCTCAGAAAGCAAAACAGATCCCAGCCATATTTAATTTTACTTCCTAATAAATAAAATATTTTAATGTACCCCTTGCAATACTCTCGCAGTCCACTAGGGATACGAGTACCCACAGTTTGGAAACACTGGTCTAAACTATCAATATGGATCAGTGTGTGTGCAATGATATATAATGTTGACTGGATTCTGTCAGTGTGATATGATGCTGTTGATACCTCAGACATTGGACTCTGGACCAAGACCTGGCTCATATATATCACCGAGCCCAGGGTCTTGATGTCGTCCCCCTCCCAAAGCCGGATGGTCTCAGTGAGAATCTGCAGCTCAAGCTCCTTTCGTTTCCGCACCTCCTGACACTGAGCCTAAACAAATGGGAACAAAAAAAAGTTCCTTCCTTTTAATCTAGCTGCAGCTAGAGGCTGCATGTGACAGGAGAAGAGCACTGAACTTACAGAGAGATTCTTGAAAGATGCCATGCACTTCAGAATATCTGGTCGGTCAGCATGATTCTCCTAAAAAGAGAAGATGAATAGCTGATAAGGTTGGGTGATATGTAAAAATGACGTGACTTTTGTGTGCTAAGACAAAACAAAACCCTCAGAGCGCTTCTTCTGCACTGCTGCTGATACCGTCAGCCACATACTGTACGTACACGGCTAAAACCCAATTTTTCTTGTCAAAAATGTATACATTTTGTCCAGTGGGAATAGCTTCCTAACTATGTTTAAGATTACTATAGATTTTTATTGTTATTAATTTATCTGAAAGTGCAAAATCGAACAGACTGAAAACTGGGGAGGAGATTTTTTTTTTTTTTGATAGAAACAGCACAGCTTCACTGGAGGGGATAATTGTCTTTTATTTGTTGTTGTTTAATTTTGTACTCAAAAAAAAAACACAAATGCAAACAGCTTTTCTCTGGTTTGGATCAGTCTCAAGTTGAAGTAGATAAATCACTGCAGCACGGTGGCACTGGGTAAAATATACTGCAGCTGGAAGGAGTTTGTGTGTACCATTAAAAACAGCATTACAATACACATAAAGAAAAGGCTAAATATAGAGGTTCAACAAAATCCAGGCCATAATACACACCTCCATATGCCTCTCCAGCTCTTTGAGTAAGGTGGGGTATTTGTCCAGCCTCATAAATGGTTTACTGAGCCCGGTGGTGAGCGTTAGGATCCCTGGGATGACTGCACCATGCGCCTCCATAAACTCCCCCAGTATATCACTGAAATTGAACAAACAGATAATAATTACAGTCAGCTCCTAACTCAGCCTCAAAGAACCGGCATCTCTAATCATCTGCAGCTCCAATCCAGATGTTGGAGCTATTTCTGACCGTTAATAGTGAGTCGTAGTGTATCGCTTCACTTTTTAATATAACTGGTTTATCCACCTACCTATGTTGGGTCAGCACGTTGACGGCAGAGGGATGGTTGGAACAGTAACCGACGTAAAGGGCCTTCATCTGTGGCATGAGATTCAGGAAGAAGCTACCTACCCGCTGCTGGCTTTCTGGAAGCCTAAGCAAACAAACAGAAGCATACAAACTGTCTGAAAGCCTGTTAATGAGTGCTGAGATTTCCACGGAACACTTGAACGCCCCATCACGTGATCAGCGCCTGAACAGTGAATGCGGGGCGCAGCTCAGTTTCCAGTTTTATGTGTTGGTTTTATGAACACCAAGTAAGTTTGACGCTGTGTTGGCGTTTTTTTATCTACTTTTCCATTTATATGTATTTTGATTCAACATAGTTTAGTCATGATATTCCATGTATTAAGATGCAGAGCGCTGTTATTCATTACTTGTTCTCCTCAATATATGTAGCATGACACATGTTAAATCAAGCTCTATATCCGTTTATATTAGTTCTGATGTACTTATGTGGTTTCTTTATTACAGTTTCTATGTTGCCAACTGCTCTGATTGTTATAACAGTGTCGGTGTTTGATACTAGCTTACAGCAGACTTTAAAGTTTATCTATTGAAAGGTCTTAATTTAACTATATAGCATAGAGTCCTATGTTTAGTGGATATAGTGTTCTTGTTAATAAGGACAACAAGCAGCATAGCTGTTTGTATCTATAGTTATTTAATTATTATTATGATTGCATTGTTTACATTTATCTCTTTGTTTTTACCAGACATACAAATACCTGTTTATTCCCAGGATCTAATGACCTGTTGTTTGAAAATAAAGTCTGATAAAGGATTATTTGACTGGAATCTATCTGTAGTGCTCCCATCCTAATCCAAAACCTTTTATCCGTATTTGATAAATACCAAAAAAAAAAAAAAAAAAGACGTGTCTGAAATCCAAAACCTCTACAATACCAAGCTCTACACGGTCTATATATTGTAATGTTCAACACTAAATGTCGGTGTGTTTATGGCTGAATAAGTTGCAGTCGGTGTGAATATTTAGTGTTGGGGGGGGACTAACTTTGTAGACTCCTCCAATGACTGAACCAGCATCTGCTGGAAGGTGCTGATCTCCTCCAGGTTCCCCAGAATCAGAGCCACGTCGGAGCTGCTCAGCCTGAATGAGGGAGATCATGCAAGTAACTGTGAGTCGGGGGAAGTTTGTCGTTTATCTGTTGCCCAGATAGCAGGTTACAGATTCATATAAATCCAGCCGTACTTGTCAATGTTTTGAAGGGGTCGCAGGTAGTTCGTAAGGAGGCTTTGAAGGTCCTTGGAATACTCCGTCTCTGTTTCTAAAATGTTCTGCAACACCTATTGAAACAAAATGAGCAAACAGAAGGTGGGTATATTTAAAGGTGATCTTAAAGCCGGCTTCTTGTTTCCTTTTACTTCTCATTCTTTAGATTGCAGAGTACATTTTATGGGATAAAGAAGACAAGCCATATTAATGATTATGAGCTTATGAGAAAATAAAAGAAATATTCATTCTAAGGTGTTTTAGTCAGATCAAAAAGAAATACAATGCATTGGTCTCTGCATCAGACTTTCAACCATTCCTTCCAGCACATCCAGTAATAAAATTACATACAGACATCAAAGGACCCATCTAGCCCAACTTTATAGACCTATATGTTAAATATTTGCGAGTGTAACAGGCATCCTTACCAGGTTATAGTAGGTCTTGCTGATAACAGAAGTGTCGAAGCCTTTCGGTGGGCTCTTCAGGGTGCCAGACTTTGGGGAGACTTGTTTATCCGTTCCCAGAAAGTAAAATAAATAAATTATTATTAGTATTATTAGAAGTTATTATTAGTATTATTAGAAGTTATTATTATTATTATTAGTTACCTGCATGTGGAAATAAATAGTTATTTTACTACAAAAAGGCCTTTCTTCACATCTTCCGGCTGCAATAAACTAACATTCTGTCAATTTTCATGAATCTATCAATACAGACTAGGAGCAATATCCAGTTAATGAGACCAAGAGAATTAAACAATACAAAAATATGTTTTTTTCTTATATTTTTTAACAAATAAATGCTTTAATCATCACAAAGTGTGTTTTTAATCTCAGCAGAATATCTTAGATCACATATTGTGGTTTTGATGTCTGTCTAATTCTAGTTTGGCCCTAATCTAAATAATGAATAAATAATTCCTTTATCTGGAAAATATTTGATAGCGACGCTGATTTTGTACGATGTAACTTTGTTACATCGTACTTAGTATTGACATAATTTCCCCAGTAGTCGAGAACTTCAGCATCCCAGATTCTGTCTCTCACCCTTTTATACGCTTCACTGCTTTTTTGTTAACTGCAAAGGTTATCTACTCTTGTTTTTATGCATCAATGCATTTATTTAAAGTGCTATTTGCACTGTTTTCTATTGCTCCATAATGTTGGTTTTGTTTTGTGTTTTAAAGCCCAGCATATATTTGCAGGTTTATTTCCATTTTCTGTAACTAAGCTGCACATTTCTCTTTATTAGGCACATTTTTCACCTGATCCGAGTATGCCACTTTGTAATGACTGCAGTGTTTTTTTTTTTTCAAAGATCAGGGTTTTCCTTTGCTGCAAAGTCTATTCTAATTTTTCATCAATCTTTGCATGGACCACTATGCTTTTAGTTGCCTGTCTGCTTTAGTAAAGATATAACTGAATGGGACACAAGGTGTGAGCATTACGAAACGACAGAACACATTAAACTGTAACATACCATACGTGTGAGAATGCATGCAACCCAAGATATTTCATCCTTTCAAAAATTGGATTCAAGCAGTCCTTTCTAAATAATATATCAAACATATTGTGAAGCTCAGTTTAACTACAGCAAGGTTCCTTTTTTTGGGCTGGTATTTTCCATATTGAACCAGAGCCTATAAAATGCAATTAAAACTGTAAACCAGGCAGAATTAGTTAGACAGGGTAACTTAATAATTACTTCCTTTCTACTTTATAATGAGAGCTAATCACATGATTTATCATAGTAGCTTATATTTATTTGAGCAATAATTAACAATGATAACAGAATAAACATTTTCACAGCCACACTAATGAATAAGACACACAACAAGAGTTTAGCTTATTGATTAGAACTGGAAGGGACATAAAGGCATCAATTAGCAACAAGAATGTGGTGAACAGATATGGTAGCTTTATTTTTTATAGCCAAAGAGCCAGAAGGAAAAATCACCCTTTAAGGCCTGCAGCACCAATTTATT